CCCCCCCCCCAGGCAGGCTGTTTCTCCTCATACACGGGGCCCCCTCTCTCCCTCTCTCTCAAACACACACGCAAACACACACGTTCTTTTTCTCCCCTCCCCCCGCAGGCTGTTTCTCTTTAAATTCATACACAGAAGCACTCTCTCTCTCTCTCTCTCTCTCACACACACACACACACACACACACACACAAAAGCACGTTCTTTTTCTTTCCAATGGATCGGGCTGGCTGGAGGAGGTCCTTAGGCTGGAGGAGGTCCTTAGGCCTTTTACCAAACAGCTGAGGAACACAGAAGAGCCCGGCAGCTTCCTGCTGCCTAGTTTCCCGATGGCTGCTGTGGGGGTGGGGGTGGCAGGACTCAGGAGCTCAGTGGGAGGTCCTCCGACAGTGGGGCCTATTCCCGGGCCCACATCATTGGCCCGATGTGGGGCAGCCTCGCTGGGCTCCCTTGGAAAATGCCCTTCCTCCGCCTGGACAGGGAGGGGCAGAGCAGGCTCAGTCGCCAGCCAGAACACCGTTTCGGTGCGTTCCGCCCCAAAAATAGCCCGTCAGGTATTATATAAAATTTGACCAATCTGGCACTTTTCAGTGTAGCTGGGGACACTTTTTGATATAGAAAATGATGTGCTGGTTGAGATTGGCTGGGCATATACCTCTAAAAGTTGTGCAAGGAGATCTTATTGTGGCTGCTTTGACAACTTTGTTACCTCTGCCATCTGAAGCACAGGTGAAATAAACAAGCACAGTTGGGCTCATCATTTATTTTTCAGTGTCAACTTTCAGTACAAGTATAATTCAAATTGCTAATCTAATCAAAGCATTTCTGTCAACACAAAGTGATTACACCAAATAAGATTTGGTCCTCAATGAGCCTCCAGTATTTATAGCTGGACCAGCAAAAGTAACTGGGTTAAAAAATATTCTTTATTTTTATGGAGATAAATTTTAATGGAATTTTAATGTATTTTTATATTTGTTGTTAGCCGCCCTGAGCCTGCCGAATGGCGGGGAGGGCGGGATATAAATGTAAATATAAATAAATAAATAAATGTAACAATGGATCATTAGAAAAGTTTCTTGCATCATCTATCTGTCTTTTCTCCCTACAAACTGAGGAATGATTTTCCTCTGTTTCAGTGCCTTTCCATGTCCTTTATGTCTTTATATGCTGTCTTTTCTAAGCTCCTCCCACCTGATTTTGTACTATAAACCCTTAGTATACAGAGGTTATTGTTCCAGGCAAAATCTGGAACTGTTTTTGTAGCTGGCCAGCTATTTATTTTATCCAAATATTTCACACAATGCAGTGTGGTGTAATTGGAATGGCGTGTGCATATGACAAGATCTGGGTAGGTTTCTGTAGGGGTTGAACTAATAGTAATCATCCCTATTATCCATATTTATCCAGTGTTGTCTTCATGAAAAAAAGACTTTGATATTGAATTTTAGTTGCTAAAAGAATAAAATGAAATAAGTGCTTTTATTAACAGGAAGACCAAATTATCAAAAGAAGGACTGAACTTTTAGCAATGCAAGCAAAAAGGAAACAGGTAAGAAAAGCAAAATAGAGTTTTAAAAAAGAAGACATTGAGATCACTTGTTAATTGAAACTGGTAAATTGGTTGGTAGCATACTTTTTAAAAAAATTGGCATAGTTGTGCTGTAACAGAAAAGCTCAGAATTGTTTTTATTGATTACAGATGAAAATTATGCTAAAATATAATTGTTTTTGTCAAGAAATGACTTGCTGACTAGGACTTTTTTGGGACTGAAAATACTTTTAACAAATATGCAATAGTTAACATGTTTTTAGTGCACAAGACCACCTAAGCGAAGTACACATTTATTTCAGAGAGAAAGTTGACAGCATAGTTTATTCTGATTCTAGTTGATTTTATGAATACTTTATTCTGGTTTTATGTCCCTGACTTGTTTTTAAAGGTTTTTAAAAAATTTTTAGATAGTTATATAGTTTTTACTTGTAAGCTGCTTCAAGTAGGATTCTGGTGAGGTGGCATAAAAATTTCTTAAATAATTTATCCTAGAGAAATCAGCAGGATTTCTTTGGTTGTCAGATGGTTACATGCTGAAACATTTCTGTAAATCATCATATATGTAGTGAACTAAGAAGTAGAGAAATGGAGAGCTATTGTTTTCTGTTTCTTTGCTCAGAAGTCTGTTCTGTAGTCATAAAGTAAGTATTTCATATTTTAGAATGCTGCAGCTAGGCTTGAAAGTGAGGTTCCGGATGAGGATGAAGATGATGAAGAAGATGATATTGAAGCAGTTTTGGAAGAAGAGTTTCCGAAAGAAGAGGATGAGGTGGAAGAGGAGGATGAAGAACAGGAGGGTGAAGCAATTGAACGCTTGAAATTAGAAATTGCAGAGAAGTTTGAAACAGATTTGATTAATATACAAACAGTACAGGTACTTTCTTCATTGTTTAGGATATTCTTTTCAGCCTTGAGTCCAGTGGTACCTTTAAGACCAACAACGTTTTATTCAAAGTGTAAGCTTTCTTGTGCACGCACACTTCATCAGACACAATTCATTGTGTCTGACGAAGTGTGCGTGCACATGAAAGCTTACACCTTGAATAAAACTTTGTTGGTCTTAAAGGTACCACTGGACTCAAACTTTCTTCTGGTGCTTCAGACCAACATGACATAGATCCTACAGGAAAGTCGTTTTTCAAACTTCCTGTAATTAAAAGATTCTTGAAAAATTAGAGAATTACTTTCTCTGTGATCAATTTATTAAAATTTGTTTTAATCCATTTTATCCAAGCAAGAAAAAAATACTTTTAAGGATAGTGCAGATCTGTTTAAGCCTCAGTCTCTTTCCACATTTGCTATTTTGTTAGTAATTCCCTACTCCTGATTATGATACTTTTAGGCAATAATAAGCACCTAATTGCATAAAAGTATCTTTCCATACGAAGCCTCCTATTAACAGTGCTATCTAGAAGGGGAGAGCTCAGGGAGCCCACCAGCTGCTATGCTGGTGGTGGATCCCTGGGATACGCTGGTGCAACCAAAGATATAGTGGAGGAACAACCCATGGCTGCTGTGCTGTTGACAAGCATGGGAGCAGCAACATCATGGCTCTATGCCAGAGCCCTACTGGCACAACCCCCCCTGCTGGAGGAGGAGGAGATGAGGCTAGGGGCATTGCAGAGTTAGTAGGATCCCTAAGCCTTCCCAGCTGGGAACATCCCTAGCAATGGTGCATATCTACACGTGCAAAAACCACCCATAGCCCACAAGTATCCAGTAAGTCCAAGAAAAACAATTTCTTTATCAGTGGCCACATTCCTGGTGCTGCAAGGACCACAGATGGACAACAGGTGCTGTGGCCCACATCCTGACCCCATAATTGTGCCTAGTGCTACCTCTCTCACCCACTGCCAAGCCAGGACCTCCACAGAGTATGGGGGGCCACTTGGCTGATCTCCAGTGGCTGACTATGTGTCCCTGCAGGTATCCAGGCATCAGTGACACATCCCAGTGGGCACACCACTGTTGACGTTTCTTCCCCCCTGGCAGGATCTGTCCTACAATCAGTCCTCAAGCTGCTGAATAGCTGGTGTTCAGAACCATCCATGGCAGCTGCACAGCTGGTACAGGTTCATCCAGAGGCCCCTCCACTTAACTCCTGAGCCAGTGGCCCTGCAACACAGCCTCGAGGCCCTGAGGAGCGGTGCACCTGAGAAGCCTCCTGTCAAGCCATGTGGGATGGGAGATCTGGAGTCCACTCTGTGACAGAGACAGCACATTACACAATCATACACTAACAATAAATTTTATTGCGAGTGCATGAATATCAACAATTCAACATCAAGTGCAACACAAGCAACCCAACTACATACAGTACCCCACCACTGGGGAACAATAAACCAGACCACATAGACACCCCCTTTTGGCCAGGGGCACCAGCTATTGCCCTCTTCCCATCTCTTGGCAATGCTCCAAGAATGTCAGCCTACCCATGACCTCAAGGCCTAAGGACAGGTACACAGTGGCCAGTAGGAGGTCACATGTGTACCACTCTGCATTATCCAGCAGCACCTGGACACTGGTCTCCTCCCTCTCCCTCTCCAGGTGCTGCTGTACAGTTGCCACCTACTCCAGCTGGGCCTTCATCTAGTGCAGGACTTGACTGCATCCAGGACAGTACATGGCTGTGAACAAAGTGCCTGTTAGAAGGAAACAGGGGATTAGTTGGTGCATAGCTGCCTACTGTCCTGCCAGCCCCACCTCCTGGCCAGTCTGAAAAATGGGCTGGGACCAGCCATTCCCCCCCCTTCGGGCCAGCACTTGTATGGGACACACCCTCAATGGAACAGGGCCAAGAGGGTCACATCACATTTTGGTCCAAGACCATGATATCCAGCATGCATCCCTAGGGCCTACCAGTTCTGGGTGAAGAGAAGTTTATGGAGCCCGCTAGGCTCCAATGTCTCTGGCAAACTGTAGTCCCTCACAGACCCTTCAGTCTCCAGTGGCCTCAGTCCCCTCATCATTGTCTGTGAGGGTCCCCTGGCTTGGAACCTTGGCTGTGGAACATGCAACCACAGAGCTCAATGCTGCCCCCACTCGATCCATCACTGCTGTAGGGCAAGACCTGCAGGAGGCCACGCAGGGCCACAGAGACTATGTGCAGTGTGTGACAGTGCCACCACCCCAACCCACCTAACCCCCAGATGCTGCAGAATGGGTGGGTGGCATGGACTAGAGGCACTGCAATGCTGTCAGGGCATGGGCTCCCCATGTCACCATCCCTGCTGCCAAATGTGCTCCTGCTCAGCAATGCCCTGGATGTTCCAACCCACCAGTGGTTGATTCCAGCAGCCCGCCCCCATATCCCCAGACCAAGAGGACTCAAACATCACCACCCCCCGCAGCTGACAACTGCCAGGCAGCCATGTTGTGAATCAATATGGCGAAGAGCTTGATGAGGCCCAGGGACTGCGTGACCTTGTAGCCCACTGTGTGGTGCAGGCAACAGAAATGCCCGCTTGATGACCAGATCCTTTTTTCTGCAGGAGAATGTACAATTGGATTATTAGAGGCATCTGATAAAATGCTGCACTTGTGACAAGTGCACAGTGGTGGTGTACATAGTGGCAAGCACACTAGTATTTCCCTGGCTAGCAACCCTACCTCTGCCTCCTTTGGCAACCATTTCTTGGTTGTATCCACCACCGTGTCTGAATTACAAAGGTCACAAAGGCTTAAGTGGGGGGCTGGCTTAGATAGACAGCTAGAATGCCTGTCATTCCTTTCTTCTCTCAGTATGGATTTCTCTAACAATAAAGAGTATCCATTTCTTTTCTAAAGCAACAAGCCTCCCATTGACTTTGTTGTAAAAGCAGCTTACCCTTTCTGCTGCCACACAGCAGGCTCCTACTAACATCCCCAACCCCACTTTAAGAAGGATCTTTCAGGAAAGATTATGCTAAAGCAGGGTTGGGGGGGGGGGACAGCAAAGCGAGAGATAACCAAGCAGAGAGATGACTGCACTCTGATGATATGTGATGGACAATTCAGTCAGACAGCAAAAACCTCCAATAAACAACACAGTAGAATTTAGAATTACAGAACTGGAAAACAATGTAACAGAAAACTGTCTAAGGAACAAAAACTGAGGTATAACATCCTATAACAAAGGAAAGGGTATTATAAAGATAGAGGGCATTGTAGTATTGAGGAGGTGATACATACAATAAACATTGCAATAGACTACAGTACTATCCCTTACAGAAGTGACCACCTGAGTTATTCTATTATATTACTATTCTAATCCCTTTAAAAAAAACTCTCCTGAATATTTCTGCTTTGCACATTCTGTGAAACGAGACATTTGCAGGACTTCCGGACGATCTCTGACAGGTAGCTAGACCCCAACGTGAAATCAGTCATTGCTGTAGACTTTGTTGAAATATCTCTGGAGTAATCTTACAGTTTGCTGCTTGTCTATAATTAGTACCCCCCCCCCCATATAGTTTGCCAACTACAAACTGCCCTGAGACAATCACAGGCTGCTAAGTTTTTTGTATGAGCTTTTAACCTAGCTGTCTTACCAGAAAAGCTATACTAAAGATGCTTCTTTCTGTCACTTGTAATGTTATAGCTGTTGGCCGTGCTTTTGTTTAATGTGATATTCTGCTTTTGTTTTTAGGAGGAACTTGACAAAATATCGATACCTCAAGTAACTATAGGAAGCAAGCGAAAACCCCGCATTGTATGTTACCAGTTGTATAAAAAGCTAAAGGACCTAGTGGAAAATCGTGAAAGCCTTTTTGAGAAATGTTATCCGATAAGTGTGTCACTTGCACGCAAAATGATAGCACTCTCTTATAAACATCCAAGCAATTTTGGGGAATGGGACCCAATCAAGGTACATGAACTTTTCAAGAAAGATATTTTGTTTGTTTTTTGAATAATGTCTTAAAGACAGTGATGTGAATTATTGTGCTGGATCTTCGTCGGGGTCTCTGTGCAGTCCCACACATGGGTTAGGCGCCTGCGCACGACCTTGACCGGAGAAACTTCTAGAGCTTTGCCTCAGAAAGTTTTTGGCGGGCTCTCTCCCCGCCCTGGGGAGCAGGCACGTACTGCGCATGCCTGGATCAGGAGAGAGAGCTGCCTCCCACTCAGTTCTTCGACCGCCTGTGTGTTCACACCTCGTTTCTGTTGCTCCGTGCTTGCCTCAGCTAAGTATACATTTCTCTTTTCTCTTTTTCGTTCCCTTCCGTCTTCATTGTAATGTATTCATAAGCTGCCATTGAATGCATTATGTGTTGTGAAACATCTAATTGAAATGCTATGTAAAGCTTCATCCTGGGCTAGGATCCAAATCCATCCAATCGTGTTACTACCCAGGAAGCACCTAACCAATCACTTTCAAGCAAGCTCCCTGAGCGGGAACATCCGTGACTGGTCGTTATGTGAACAACCTTATTGGTTGGTATTTGTACAGTGGGTGTGGCTACATTAGCCGGGAATGTTTAAAAGCAGGACAGCTGCAATGTAAAGGCTGTTCTGGCTATCAGATGTTGATCCGTGTTGGAGTTGTGTTCGAGTTGAAGAATAAAGTTGTGTTCTTGCTGAATCACTCTCCGACTTTCTTTGTTAAGCGAGCGACTTAACATTCATTCTTGAACTTTTCTTGTTACTATTTAATATATATATTTGTTATTCAGTCGCACAGTCGAGTCCGACTCTTCGTGACCCCATGGACAAGATCACGCCAGGCCCTCCTGTCTTC